AAAATACGCATTCAATATCTCCCAAAAATTAAAAATTCATAATAATGCAAAATTAAGAACACATCATATTTTAAGACTCCAAAATTAGAGCATGAAGTATGACTTGACATTTAAAATGCAAAAGTAATATCTTTAAAAGTGAAAGTTTAATGACTAACTAATATGAGGTGGATTAAATGGATTAAAATAAATGAACTCACGTCTTCCTTTTGTGAAACACCTTTGATTTGTGAAATTAGCTACTCATAATATGAGAGTATCAATATGAAATTGATATGAAAAAATGAAAAAAAGAAGTGGATCTATGAAAAATACCTGCAAGTTTTTCATCTTCTTTTTTAGCAGCACACATCAATTCACAGCATCTCACAGCTCGGTTGAACCATCAAATCCTGTATTGCAACAGTAGGTTACCAAAGCATTAGTGTTTAAGAACGAAAGAAGTGAATAACTAAAACGCAGGCATTCGGTGTTCCAACATACCAAAGTAGATATGTGTTTAGAGGGGATTTTCATCTTTAGTTCAGCTCAGGGAAATGGCATAAGATAATAAAATAACAAAAACAACAACACCAACAACAACCCAATTTAATCTCATCCGAGTGGCATAAGATAATAAAATTGTCAAATTAAAAAAAAGCATAATGGTTAGAGATCCTTATATTTATGGGGCTAAAAGTGTATGCTATACACATGTGAATTAAAATCTTCAGCACCCAACCACCCAAATTTTAATAGATAAACAAAGCATAATCGCATTTTTATATCTTCATCATACCATAATCATAAATGTACTAATCAAGGAAATTCCAAAGAAAAATGTGGGAAAATTAAGTAGCAAAAATGAAGCCAAAGAACACCTATTCACACCCAAAGTTGCAACTCTAAATAAAATAGAAAAAGAACTATCCATATATAGTAGATGAAATTTTTTAAAAGAAAACATACAATCTCTGAATTCACTTAATGTTCACCCGGATTCAGTCATTTGCATCTCAACCTCATTGAAAAAAACAATAACTCAAGTAAACTCAGAGGAATTAAACAAAACGCAATACTATAAAAAAAACACATGAAGCATATATTAGTGTGCATTTCATAGATACTTGCATACCCAGAAGTGACGTATTCGAAGAGAAAGAGCAGATAGTGAACCCTACCAAGAGGTTTCAATTGGGAGAGAGCATCTGCATCACAAATCGGATACAATTATCATTCAATTAAATTCAAATCAAAATCAAATTGAGTAATTCAATTCATGCAAAACTCAACTCAAATTGAATTACGGAATCATTCAACTCCGCAGAAAATTACTCTACATGCACGTAAAAGGAATTTTTTTGGAAATAATAGCTTCTGAAATTGAATTTCCCAAAAAAACAAACAGAGATGGAAGATAAATCTTGAAAGAAATAATATTTTGGAAAGAAATGTAATATGAAGACCGGATTTTGCTCCACAATACATAAATACTCACAAAAAATTTGGGGAAAAAATACCTAATTTGAAGTCTTTCCTTGGCGAAGATGGAATGTTGATCTTGACCTGGATCGGCTATTCAGTCGGACGAAGATGGAAGATAAATCTTGAAAAAATCTTGGGAATTGCGGATTTCTAGTGACGAAGATGGAAAGGCGAGAAAGGGTTGCCCTGGAGATTCGGACGACGAAGAAGGTTCCGCTGGGAATTCCCTTTTTTCCTCCGCTTGGTAAACGCATAGAATAATGAAGCTTGGATGCTGATTTGTCAATAAAATAAACCCTCTTTAAGTATACGTATCAAAATTCTAAGCTATCAGCTCTCAAATATTCTATTAAAGGATTTTTTTAAAATGTATAAATTTTATTTTGAATTTCACACTCATTTTGCAATAAATTGAATTGAGTCAAATATCGTAAAACATAATAGGAAATTAGTTTTAGAATGAAAGGAATAACTTTGAAATTGTAGACTCATTACCTCTCACCAACTTTAACACTTTTTTTCAATTTTCGTGAAGTCAAATGATAAGTTTATTTGAAGACGGAAGAGTAAATAATCTTACCGTGTTTAATTTTACTCCGTATCTAATTTAGAAAATCCCCTAAATAAGAATAAAACATGTATCATATCTTCAAAATAGGAGTTCAAACTTAAACTCCTCTAAATAGGAGTAATTAATTAAATATATGTTTGAATCAATTGACTAATCAAGAACTACTAGAAAATGTTCAATTTGAATGAATAGATGTGAATAATGAGAGTGCAGTGGAAAAACCAGAGCTGAATCCGAAGAAAGACAAAACACCAACAAGACCTTCTTAGCTCACCATCTTCTATAGACTACTGCTATGCATTTTATGTATCCTTACAATATCCATCCAATCTTGTTTTAATTTATTAAGAAGGGACATTTAACCATTATCAATGGTCACCGCCGTATATATACGAAATGATGCCAAAGATTAATTTTTTTTTTGTATAATAAAAAAGGTAAAGAGGAGCATTAGTGAAGATTAATTGGTCTACCAATAAAATTTTCGTTGCATGCTTTTAGTGAGTTGTAGAAGACTCTTACATTTCAGGTATCTACTACACAATGTCATTATATTTGGTTTGTCATTATGTCATTGTGTAATATTGTTACATTATATATGAGCATATGTGGCATTATATATGGGCATGTATGGTATTATATATTGTCATATGTGACATTACATAGTGCCACATTATTATTTATTTCTTTGACACTTTATGGACTATTAATGTGACATTGTGGTGACGATGATGCAAATTGTGATGATAGTGTTGTTGATACTGGTATAGAGCGGTGATATCGTCGGTGGTGATAACAAAAAATATAATCAAAGGCGTCAATGGTAGGTTTCATTTGTAGCGGTGGGGTGGAGCAGAGGACGGTGGTGGTGGAGATTCAAGTGATAGTGGCAGGTATGTGGCGGTGACGGTGGCGGCGGCGGGCATCACCGTCGACGACGATTGCGGCAGTACAGTGGGCGTCGCTGTCGGTAGCATGTAGTTGTGAAATTAGTCAATTTTTTTTACTTTTGAACTTAGCCACCACTGGTACTGGCCGTAAATTCAGCGCGTGGGGATCATTTTTTTTACTACGTATTAATTAAGTTAAAATCTTTATTTTAACCTTTTATTAAAAATTAAAAAAAAGAAAGAAAAACTCAAAAACTTGACTGCAAAAAAAAAGTTGCATGGAGCGGGTAATCTCGCCGCTTAATATATTTGCATGCATCCGTGCATGTTCGGAGCATATTTTTGTTTTATGGAGTATTAATTATGTTAACTATTATAACTACTCCTACTTAGAGGAGTTTAAGTTTGAACTCTTATTTTGAGAATATGTCATATGTTTTACTCTTAGTTTGTTCCTTCTCCCTATCTAATTCTCCCTGATGCATTAAGAGAAATTCAACGGAGAAGATTACATGTAGATCACATAATTTTGGATTAACACAAAAAGGCACAATAATACGATTCCCTAAACGCTCTAAAGTCAAATGAAAACAAAACACTTTATTTTGTTACAGAGTATTTTATCGTTACTATTTTGGCCGGGCAGGCGGGCACGGGTGCTAATAAATTTAAACTATTTTTACATATCTTTTGGAACTAATCATCTTATTTTCCTATTTAGTCTAATAAACATATTTGTTTTATTTTTTACTGTCCTAATAAAGTAAAAAGTATATTTTGTTGTACAAAATATTTTTCTTTCCTCAAATTAAATTGAAAACACTCAATTTTTTTCATTTCAACGACTTTCTTAAACTCTGTAAAATCAAACCAAGGGACTAATTCGAGGTTGAAGGTTGTTTATTTTCAATTTAAAAAAGAAATACAAGTAATATGGATCCCGTAATATTTTGTATAGTTAGAAATTGGCCGATGGACATTATTGTACAGTTAGCAAAGGTAACGAATGCCAAGAGGGATGACTCGAGTTCAATTCAAAGGATCCCATAATATTTTGTATAGTATGATTGAATATATAATTGATATCACTATATTATTTTACTAAAAAATATTGAAACACCAAAATTCATGTGTAATTTTTAAGATTAATTGAAATTTGAGTAATTAATAAGTTTTTGAAAAAGTAATTATTTTTTTAGAAAAATGAATAAAAGGAATGGAAGAAAACAATTGAAAATGGAAGAATTAAAAAAAGGAAATAAGTATTCAATTCTTTTGGAATCCATATATTTTACATTAATTTTTTTGACATGCCGCAAATTTTTTTTATTTCCCTCCTCCCACATCACATATTACTTGTCAAAAAGTGACACCAGAGCTCCGCCAAATGTCGTGTTCTTGCAATTCAGAGTGTGCTTTTTACTCCCTCCGTCCCATAAAACCTTTCTCTTTTTTTTATCTGTCCCACAAAACACTTCTCAATTCTATTAAAAATTCACTTTACCCCTTACTTTTTCATACCCTAATTATCACATCATACCTTTTTACTAATAATCTATCCATCAAATCATACTTTTACCCATCATATTAAAAGACATTTTTAGAAATTCAATACCAAAATACACTTCTCTTAAATCCCTCATAAAAAGCAAAAAACTCCCATGTTTCACGGGACGTAGAGAGTATGTATTAAGGATTAAGGATAAGGATATAACGTTTTAACACACGTGCGATGCATTTCAATTAAATGATTTTTTTCCATGTAGTTTGTCTTAAATTTTTCTAGGCTTTGTTATTTTGGACTTTAACTCTTAAAATCTGTTGGTTGGAAGAAAAATATTTTTCCAAAAAATCTAAGTCACATTTCTTATGTTTGGTTACATAAGTTGTATGAAATCATTTTTGAGAAAACTATTATCTCTCCGAAATTGAAAAATAAGTTTGGTTTGCTTTGGACGGAAAATCCTTTTCTTTAGGCTTTTTTCACAGAAGATACCTAAACTTTGAAGATTGTAACAAAAAGGTACCTCATCTTACGTTTGTAACAAAAAGGTACCCCATCTTTTAAATTTATAACAAAATCATACCCCTTCATCGAAATTGATACAATCCGGCAAATTTTTGATGAGGTGGCATCCATGTTGGCTTTCTCTTTCCTACGTGTTAATTATACATTCTCTTCTTAGTAATTTTTTTCTTAAAAGTTTTAGAACAATATTTTTATGTCCAATAAATAACAAAAAGAACATGTTTCTTTATGAAAATATAAGATTCATTTAAATAAAAGTGTTCATGTATTAAAATTTTTAAAATAACAATTAATTCTTTGCAAATAAGTTTCTTTTTATTATATTTGGAGAATATAATTTTTTTAAATAAATTCCATTAAAAAAATAAATAAGTTTCTTTGATAGGGAATGCATAATCCCCTCTTTAATGTAATTTATTTCTTTATTTAAAAAAAAGAAATTGTGCTTTTATAATCCATGTTTAGAAATAAATTTAAAAAAAGAAATTATACATATAAATAAATTATATACTCCCTCCGTTCTCAAAAAGAGTTTCTACTTTGAAAAAGTGGAAAAATAAAAAAGTGTTAAATTGTAGTTGACTTCCAATTTTGCCCTTGATGTGATGGGTAAAAGTAAGATGTGATGAGTAGATTATTAGAGAAAAAGTATGATGTGATAGGTAGGGTATTAAAAAGTAAGGATAAAAGTGGTTTTTTAATAGAAAGTGGAAGTGTTTTGTTGGAAGTGAAAAAAAATGAAAGAGGAAGTGTTTTTGAGAACGGAGGGAGTATATAAGTTTAGAAAAAGTTTAAAAGAAATATTTAAAAAGAAATAGAATTTTGAACAATAAAGTATAGACTTATACTTTATATATATAAGTTTCTTTATTTAAAAAAGAAATAAATTGCATTAAAGAGGGGATGATGCATTCCCCATCAAAGAAACTTATTTATTTTTTAATGAAAATTATTTATTTTTATTAATAAAAAATTATATTCTCCAAATATAATAAAAAGAAACTTATTTGCAAAGAATTAATTGTTATTTTAAAAATTTTAATACATGAACAATTTTATTTAAATCAATATTATATTTTCATAAAGAAACATGTTCTTTTTGTTATGTATTGAACATATAAATATTGTTCTAAATTTTTTAAGAAAAAAAATATTAAAAAGAGAAGGTATAATTAACACGTAGGAGAGAGAAAGCCAACATGGATGCCACCTCATCAAAAATTCACCGGATTGTATCAATTCCAATGAAAAGGTATGATTTTGTTATATGTTTAAAAGATGAGATACCTTTTTGTTACAAACGTAAGATGGGGTACCCTTTTGTTGCAACCTTCAAAGTTGGGGTACCTTGTATGAAAATAAGCCTTTTCTTTACTCACTCCTCGAATTGTCTAATCTCAAATACTCCCTCCGTCCCTAAATATTTGTCACACTTTCCTTTTTTATCCGTCCCAAAAAATTCACCACACTTTTAATAATGGAAAGTAAATTAGTGTGTTAAGACTATTATACCCCTGCTTTTTGAGAATGATGTGATGTTAAGTTTAATTAAATACTCCCCCTTTCTCCCATATTTTTTGCCTTTGCTGTTTTCTTTTGTACGGGTGGGTGGGGGTATTCTTGGAAAAAAAATACTTTTTACCTACTTTCTAAAAGTATGTGCAAGTCAAAGTGTTGTGATTAAATAGGGACGGAGGGAGTACAAAACAATGAACCCTGCAGTCCCCCCACTTCCCCAAACTCTAAAGAATCCTTTGATATAAAATTTGAGAGTTAATGATCTAGAAATTTGACACGTGGCACTTTCAGAATTCTATTATTGAGACACGTGTACACGCTTCCTTTTAGACTTTTCACCGATTGTTTCACCGAAGGAAGGAAAGTATTGAATTGCTTCTTCCCCAAAATTAAGCAGTTTTTACGCATCCCTTCTTCGCTGGTCTTCTCCAAGGAAACTCTTGAATATTTGGCCGATCTTTGCTGTCGATTACATCTTCTCTTCTTCATCTAAGGAAAGTCGATATGTGCTCTTGATCTTCTCTTATAATTTTCTTCTCTTTTCAACCAAAACCAATAGCGAAACAACTCCGAATTTGAATCTTTGGGAACAAGAAAGGTAATTTAATTCCACATTAATTGATTTGATTTTCTAGAATTCTTAGGGTTTATAGTTCTTGATGATCTTTAACCGATTCGATATATTTGCTTCTATTCCCAAATTTTTAGGATTTTTGTATCTTTTCAATTGAAACCAATGGCAAAACAACTCTGGATTTGAATTTTGAAGTTTTGGGAACGAGAAAGTCAATGCAATTCTATATTTTTTGGGAACAAAAAAACTCATTTTTTGTTAAATCTAAAGCCCTAAAGTGATCTGATATCATTCTCTAGAATTTAGCTTTACTATATTCAAAATTTTTGCCTCAATTACTTATTTCTACAAATTCAATTGTACTCAAATAAAATTAACAACTTCATTATCAATATTCAGACAAATTTCGTACTGTTTTGGATGTGCTTGAATATATAAAGAAAATGTATATATGTTTTCTCCTCTATATAAATATAAATTATTTATGTGATTCAAATTTATAATTCTTTTACAACTCAATGGTGTAGCCGTGGATGACTCAAACCTATGATCTATGCACGTCAATTTATTCTCATATNATAAGGTGTGGCATACCAATGTAACTAAAGTATCATATAAATGACAAACATTCAGGTATCTTAGTTTTGAAGATTCACCATATAATTTTATTTGAATTTAACTTTTTTTTTAATTAATAGGGACTATAATCTATGTCTCACTATTTAAGTCTCATACCATATTTGGTCATGTAGTTTACCTTCATGCTAATGTTATTCGACATCATATTTTATAACATCAATATCAACCACACAATTTTTTAAAATATTTGTATGTGTTACTTCTCATGACCTATAAACACTGGGTAAGGAGAATATTATTTATTTTGTTGTATATGTAGTATTTTATTCATTTATGTTTGTATCATATCTCTAATTGGTTGAATTTTATGGCAAACAGTTTGTTGGCCACTATAGCTTTGAACGAAGGCGGATGAACGGCAATGACCAAGGTCGGACAGAGCTGCTCTAGGTTTTTTTCCTTTCTGATGCTCAAATTATAATTTAGGGTTCCACTAATTATTGGTTTCGAACATGCAATCCGATAATTTTTTCACCAATATTTATCATATATTGCTTCGTATTTTCATTCTGCAATTACACTACTGATCAGTCATTGCTTTAGAATTTAAAAGTTTTCATCATAAAAGAGCATTTTCGGTTTTTAATAAACACAGAGAAAGATATTGTCCAGATGGACTTTGAAGATGAACAAATCAATTCTTTTCAGTAGATGGTTACATGCAACAACATACTTGCGCAGTTTGTTGAGAAAATAACAACAAAAACAAGTAAGTTCCCAAAAGTGGAGTTTGGTGAGGGTAGAACTAAGAAGTATGCAAACCTTACCCTTACCTACAATCCCACAAAGGCAATTTCAAAAAGACCTTCCGCTCGGGTTAGAAAAAATGTCAAAAGGAGAACAAAAGGGAAAAACTACTACATAACAAAAGGGAAAAACAACTACATAAAAGAGAAGAGGTGAGAGGATAGCAACACATAAAAATGCAAAAATCTTACAAAGACACACCTAAATCTCTCCTATAACCCGGCTCGAAACTAAATTGCCTTCAAATAGTGAAACTTTAGTTGTTTGCTGAATCAAAATCCATGGGTTTGTTTGAATTGAAGAGAACACTCATCTTCTTGGAATTTTGATTATTTCTTGCGAGTATAGTGTTAGAGAGAAGATCAATTTTTATTGAAAATTTCACATATGCAATCCACCATATATTCTCTGTTGAATTTGTTTTGGAATCATATACTTCATATACTACGTATGTTCTTAAGAACAGTTGGCATTACATAGCAGTAAATACTCATCTCCAATCTGTAGAATTGCCAAGGCGGACTTAGAGTGAAAAAAAGTCGACTAACTACTCTGTATTCTTTTTTTGGTGAAAAATCTCTTTCCGTTTCTATTTCCACCTGGAGACCCATTAGACAGGTCAACCTTCCAGTTGCGTTTGTTAGACAAAATAATCACATAGGCTACCATTTTTGCCAGCTTCAGGCTTCTAATAGTTTCACTTCTCCAAATTACTCATGCTAATCAATTTATGGGTATTGCTTAAAATACTCTGTATATGGAAAACTTGAAAGTACATTTATCTACTTAATCCTACAAGTTGGTTTTCAGAGATGTAACACAACCTTTACGATACCCTATAAGAAGATGAATCCCTGTTTGTATTTCATGAGTGCAATTTAGTTTTATTAGAGATGTATACTTGGCATATTTATATTAGACAGGATCATGATGGGGTTGTAATGGGGTAAGGAGGAGTTCTGCGGTTGGGAGAACTCGAGCACAAAAAGGTATTTTTTCCCAATTATTTCTTAATTGCCCAAGCTGGTCATCTCAAAGAGCTCCAAGCCCAGCTTTGGTGTCTCAGTTAAAATTTGGAGGTCAGATTTTTATTAGATTTTCAGCTATTGGCATTCTCTTTCATTTTTTCTCCTTTATTTTCAAGTGTATTCTTACAAAAGAACTAAATATACACAACTATGTATTTTTCTTTCTTGCAGTTGCAGATAGACTATAAAGTCTCTAATCCTAATCTTTTAGGAGAAGGTGGTGCAGTAGAGAATGGACAAATTGGCTCTATTTGATAAATTTGCATTGGCAGGTTCATGGGCAAAGAGAATGGACTTAGACAATCAAAACCACCCACTCCACAGCCACCACAAAAACCAGCCATGGATCCCTGGGCAAAGTCCCGGCTCAGCAGGCAGTTTGCACCACCCAAAGAGGAGAAACGACCCAACTCCGAGAATTGAAAAAAGGTACATATCGAATGTTAAGAAGATTTTATATGCTTTCGTAGTTTTGGCCTACCATATTTGTTGCCTTTAATGTGAAGTTGATCTCAAGTGTGATATGTTAGTGGTTTTAGAATAAGGTTAATTTTTTTAAATTGGTTTTTTATGCAAAGCACCAAATACTTCCTAAATTTTCTCTACATAGGTATATGTGTGTATGTCTTCATTATGTGGCACTATGTTTTTGGGAAAACATCCGTTTGAGGACATATAACCTAAAGTACTTAAAAAAACTGCTATAGGTCATATAAAAAGAGTCAGCTAAAGGTCGATCCGTCATTGTTTGCTCCTTTTCTTGAAGTGAGTGTTGATTATAAAAAATGCTTTTTATAGATATAGGAAGTATTTGTGTTCAGTCTAAAAAACTGCCAATTGTCATTATTTTGTGATTTTTCATGTCCCATGGAAACAGAATGCTCTCAGAGTTCACATCATGTTATGTGATTCTTTATACATACACCCATAGTTATTAAAGGTGCTCGCCTCTCTCGCCTATGGCGCCTCAGGCGACCAGGCGAGCTCATAGCGCCTCAAGGAAGCCAGGCGAGGCGAGATCCCTAAGGTGCGCCTAAGGCGGTCGCCTTTCTCGCCCCAATCACTGCCTCAGGCCTTCGCCTAGCTCGCCTTTCTCGCCTCAATCACTGCCTTAAGGCTTTAAGATATACAATGCATAATATTTATTGCTATATATTACTCCATTATATATATATATATATATATATATATAGTATCAATATTATGTGTTTATACATACATACATATAGTAACATACTTTATACACACACACACACATACATATGTATGTATGTATGTATATATGTTCGCCATTTGACCGCCCGCCTCTCGCCACGCCTCTCGCCATAAAAAAGGTCCTCTCGCCCGCCCCTCGCCCCTCGCCATTAATAACTATGCATACACCAGACTAATGTAAACCAAAATAATAAGTCTGTAATCTTGATCGTACTTAATGGAATTTTTTAAACAGTAGAGAGTATATATTTTATAATTTGGTGATGCTGGATTAGTTTACGAACATTCAAGCACTCCACTTCATTAGTTTTCTCCCTTTTTTGCTAACTCTGAACATCACATATATATTGTCTTTTTTTTCTTTTCCACCTGAAATCTCCCTAGAGTTGTATAAGGCTAACAAATTTAATCAAGATGATCTTCGTGGATGAACATGTAAGCTAGAAAAGTTCATTTTTTGGGTAGTCTTGCTTTAAATTAATCATAGAGATGCCCGCAATAATTTTAAGAACAACAATATCAATTCCAAGATTAAAGTTTCTATTGTTTTATTCTATATAGTATATTGTCCTTTTTCTCTTTTCCACCTCAAATCTCCCTAGAGTTGTACAAGGCCAACAAATTTAATCGAGATGGTCTTCGTGGATGAACCGTACTACCGTATCAATTTCAAGATTAAAGTTTCTATTGTGTTATCCTGTAATTTTGTATACAGATTTAAAAATCTGTGCGAGACATTTATGTAAAAATTTGCTTGCGGATGTCAAAGATAAGCTCGAATTGTTTATTAACTTTAAGCTTAGGGGAACTACATTTTGTAATGAGAGGGATCTAATATTCTTTAGAAGTTTAATAGTTTTGGTATTGTTCTTGATATATATATTTGTTGTTTGAACTTTTTGTTTCCTTTTGAGTTCATACGGTAGTACGTTTCAAATAAGAAAAATTGTTTGCCCATGCATGTATCTGTGTACAGGGTGAAAACAGAAAAATTTATTACAGGCGTAGCTGGGCTTGGTATTGCTAGATTAGTTTATGAGCATTAAAGCACTCCAGTTTATTAGTGTTCTCCCTTCTTCCGCTGACTCAATATCACAGGGATATTGTCCTTTTTTCCACCTCAAATTCCCCTAGAGTTGTATAACACCAACAAATTCAATCGAGATGGTCTTCGTGGATGAACATTTTACTTTGAAAAGTTCATTTTTAGGTACTCTTGCATTAAATTAATTATAGAGATCCCTGCAACAATTTTAAGAACAACAATATCGATTTAAAGATTAACGTATTTATTGTTTTATTTTGTAACTGTGTATGCATATGTAAAAATCTGTGATAGACATTGATGTAAAGTATTTACTCTATGATGTCAAAGATACACTCAAATTGCTTATTAACTTAAAGCTTAAGGGAACTTACATTTTGTAATGACATGAGTCTTATGTATTTATTGTTTGAACTTTTTGTTTCTTTTTGAGTTTATTCGGTGTTATAGTTCCAATAACAAAATTGCTTGCTCATGTGAGTAACTCTCTATGGGGTGAAAGCAGAACATTATTTAGCTATAAAAGAGTAAATACTTTTGTTTATTCATAATCTTCTTAGTTTTATTTAAATGATAAGTTTTACATATTGAGCCTTATAAATTAGTTTTGTTTAATCCTCATCATAATGATGTAGCAACTTAGTACAAGTTCAAACTTAGGAAGTGACTAATTCATAAGAGATTAGTTTTGTTTATTCCTTTAAAATTATTCTTTTCCTTTCTACCAAATTCGTGAACCAAACATAGTGTAAATGTGTAAGTTTATCTTAAGTCGCTTCATGCCTTCATCATTTGTATCATCTTAAAAGAGTTTGCGCTTAGCATAGATATGAATCTAAAAAAGTGCATATTCTCTGTATTTTAATCATTTTAATGCACCTTTGATATATGAAGAGTTAATGTTTATGTTTTGTCACATGAAAAGATGGCGATCATTGGAGACAGTTGTCAAAATTCCAATGAATTGTAGGTGACATGAATCATTAGAAGCACTTTGTCATGTACTCTTTCAATTTCGTGACAAAATATTAATTGATATAGTATTATTTATTCTACTTTGTTGCTAATGTATATTATAAAAAAATCATGTTACAACTATAATTTCTCTAATTTGTAAAAATATTACATTGCAAAATATTTTTTGAATTGACAAAAAAATTGTTTAAACCCGTGCATTGCGCGGGTTAATATACTAGTGGACTTTATACTCCGTAACAGTATATAAAGAATAAAGTATTTGATATAAAAATGTTACCCCGGAGTACAAAATATCTTTCCTTTTAATTCAAATATCAACAATGTACTATTCTTAAAAAAATCTCTTCCTAAGAAATAATACTACCTCCGTTTCTCAAAAGAGTTTCTCTTTTGACCTTGGGGGAAAATAATGAAGTGATAAATTGTAGTTGATTTTCCAATTTTGTCCTTGATGTGATGGGTAAAAGTAAGATGTGATAGTTTAGTTATTAGTAAAAAAAGTATGATGTGATAGGTAGGGTATGAAAAAGTAGGGGTAAAAGTGGTTTTTTAATAGAAAGGGGAAGTGTTTTAAGAAAAACAAAAAAAATGAAAGAGGAAGGGTTTTAAGAAACGGAGGGAGTAGAAAATTGTTTTTTGATAAAAAGTTCCTACCAAACAATGAAAAACGTGGAGGGAAAATGATAGAATTTAGGATGGATTGAACAACTGGATTGGGTAATAAGACACTTGGGTTAAACCACATTAAAAGATTGAATCCAATCGATTAGTTAGTTCAACTTAAGGGTTTATATACCGGTTTATTTTCTCACACTTTTTCCGATGTGGAATACTCTTAACATTCCCCCTCGAGTGGACAACCGGGTCATTTTGAATCTAACTGGTTGATCACTTGCAAATGAACTCCCATTCCCTTGACTTTTTTTTGAGCGCCAACACCTAAAGGACCACGAGCCGCTGGGTATTGACTTCCAAACGAGCAATCGTGTTAAACGGGCTACAGACCGTTGGGTACATATTCCATACGGAATATTAGGCTAAAGACAAACGGGCCGCTAGGAATGAACGTCTAGATGGACACCTTGACAAACGAGGTGGGACAAAATATGCTCTGATACCATGTCATGATTGGTAATACTCTAACACGACCCCTCACGTGCAGGCGTGACCTCTTTTGGGCCTTCCACGTGAAACCTTAATTTTTCTAAATTGGGTGGCAGTGAGTTTCGAACTCGTAACCTCTTGGTCATCAAGGCTTTGATACCATGATAGAATTTAGGATTGATTGAACAACTGGATTGGGTAATAAGACACTTGGGTTGAACCACATTAAAAGATTGAATCCAATCGATTAGTTAGTTCAACTCAAGAGCTTATATACCGGTTTATTTTCTCACACTTTTTCCGATGTAGGATACTCTTAACAGAAAATAACGGTTTTGTATCCTTTTTTCATTTTTTTTCTATTTTTCTTTTATTTTATATCATTTTCTATTTTTTATTTTATTTAAAAAATAAAAATGTGTAAATCCAATTAGACAACGTCTATTACAATTCTGGTCTGATCTAAGTAAATTCAATTACACAAAATATTCGATGACACTAAAATCACCAGCCGATCATGTAGTAGATCTCTCTTCATTCTTCCACTTTCAAGTTTGTTCAATTTTTTAAAATTCAAATTTTGTTTTAATTAGAGTTTATATTGTTTCATTGTCTTGAGATTGATAGAAAATTTTATAAATGACTGAAATGAAAAATAGTGATAAAACAAGATTTTTAGCCGGCGATACTCGTTAAAATTGTGGTGGGTGGAATTTTTGAATATTATTAAAAAAAAAAATTTGGGTCACAACCATAACCGCTAACAGCACCACAAAATAGTAGACCGTTGGTCACTTGTCTGTGAAAATCGCAACCAAGTTGCCATCTCAATTTCACCTTCTCCGCCTGCTCTACGCCCACATCACAACCATCACTACTACTCCGTACAAAAAAAAGACTTTTTGAATTGGTTATTTTTTACTTTTTGAATCGGTTCCTTACTGATGCAAAAGGCAGCGATGCAATTGGTGCAAGTACTTTTTGCACCAGTTATTAAACCGATGCAAAAGACCTTTTATGCACTCAGATTTCACGCTATGGTAAAATTTTTTGCATCGGTTGTTTCTAAATAACTTATGCAAAAGCCTTTTTATTTATAAATTTTTAAAAAATTAAATAATTTTTGCATCGGTTATTTCCAAATAACTTATTCAAAAGCGTTTTATTTATTTTATTTAAAGAGCATTTGCATCGGTTATTTCAAAACAACCGATGCCAAAGCTATTTAATTTTTTATAATTTATAAATAAAAAAGTTTTTGCATCGGTTATTTTGAAACAATGGATGCAATTGATTTAAAAAAATTACGATGGAGTTCACAACCACAACCTCGATTACCTATCTTCTTCGAATTTTTCTTGTAATCATCTCAAAAAGTTCTTTAATACAACGAACAAGATCTTTAAACAAGATTTTCTTTGCAATTTTTCTTGTTGAGCAAATACATAGAACAAAAAAAAGATCTTTAATAAGCTAAACAACAAGATCTTTAATAAGCTCAGGCAACAATAGCAACACCAACAATAGCAACACCAAAAAGGGCTATGTGGTTCAACCCAAGTGTCTTATTACCCAATCCAGTTGTTCAATCCGTAAGTCCTTGCTCCCTGGCCCAACCCAATAGCCCTTTTTCTTTGTCCACAATATATCTTCTCATTCCATTTTTTAACAATTAAAATACCACAACTACCCCCACTTACTTTAATTATTACATCTCACCCACCTCATTTAATACACTCCACTCATTTTCATTAAGGATATTATGGTAAACTTTTACCTTTTTTCAACTCTTCTTAAAAACCACCAAAAGTCAAAATGAGAACATTATAGGGGGACGGAGAGAGTATCTACAAACTCCAAAAAAAACCCCCTTAATTGAATCTATATTTTAGGACAAATTGATGAAAGATACAACTTCGGATCGGAAGAGTAGATGTGTCTGAGTTGAGTTAATTTGTTAGGAATGCTAGATTAGAATGCTGAGTACGAAATAAAAGATTTATCTCAACTAATTAAAAATTTTAATTATGTTGAAAACTATTTACAAAATAAATGTTTTTGTAAGAATGACTAAAATATTTTTTTTAGTTAGGACAAAAACAAAAAATAACCTATTTTACAGAAATTAAAAACAAATCAAACCTTTTTTCAAAAAAAAGAGAGAAAGAATACCCCCACTAAAGCTAGAAGTCCAATTCCCCAAGTATGGATCACATCCAAAATTTTAAGAAAAAAATAAAGAGTTGACCTAGGTACACCAAGATGAGGTACTCCATTTGTATATTAAACTAACACAGACACACAGACACAAAATGTCAATGCTGCACAGACATTTTGTGTCTGTATTGACTTAGTGTACAAATGAGGTACTCCATGTTGTCTATCTCTAGCATTGTCTAAAAATTACTACCTCCGTTCTAGAAAGAATGTCACGGTTACTATTCTGGCATCTCGATAACTTTTGTTTGTTTACTCGTTTTGGTTGATTATTTGATAAAATAAAATATTATTATCGCATCTTGTTTTGTAGAACTTTTCATATATTTTTGAATGGTGTAATTTTTACTTTTTATTACTCTACCAATTTAAAATTAGAATAATTTTAAAAGAGATAATATTTTATAAATTGTTCGAAGTATTGCAAATAAATTGGGAGTAATGAATTTAGGGAGCGGTACGAGTCAACAAAAATAGGGAGTATGAATAGGCGTAGAAACAAATTAAAGCTACAAGTCCAATTTCCCAAGTAAATGGTAGCTACGCTTTTGTGCATAGATAGAATACATCAGCAGAGCCCTTTGCAAAAGTAGCATCAAAATTAAAGATCACTGCTGGCCTGGCCTGACCTGACCTGACCTGGCTACCCGCAGCAGCTCATCACATCCATCATTGAGAAATGATATCCCTTCCCCTTCCTTTTACTCCGTATATAGCTTAGCTTAGCCCATAGCTAGGGTTCCCTTTGTTGTTGCTTCTACATCTCAACTTGTCATCGATCAACATTTCCCTCCTTTCATCCCATTTTTACCCTTTTAATTTCTTCTTCAAACAGTACTGTGGAGCTGTGTGTGAGTCATTTTGTTCACATGCACCCTTGCTTCAAGTCATTAATCAAGAGAACGTACCCGCACGGGGAGCCCAAGTGGCGAGCACTTTGTGAAGTTTGGAGAATAACCAAGGATCGGAATCTGGCAGCGACTGATGTGGCGGCGACTACTTCTGAAAATGGGGGAGTCTCTGGTGCCCTGGGATATGGTCCAGCTAAGTGTTGTTCTTGGGGCGCGATTTCACCTTTTTGGAGAATTAATCAAGAGAACATTTCACGAAATTCATAAATCTATTATTGGTGGGTCTTATTAAGATCACAAAATAATTTTAAATTTTAAAAAAAGTAATGCCTTATTTCACTAAAAATCCTTCATCTTTCATTTTTGACGCTTTTACCAAAATAATTCTTTTTTATTAAAATAACTAATATATCTAAATAAAGTCATTGCAGTATACATCATCTATTTTGCATTGATATAATAAGTTGTTTAGGTGATTTATCTTTCTTTTTGATGCTAATAACTTAATTGAAAATTCAAATTACAAAATAAATCCAGAAGTCAAAACAGAAACTATTTTCATGAACGGAGGAAGTAAAAATTTATATTTACAAATGATACGATTATAATTTTGTAGTATTTTGTTTTTGACTATAACATTTCTCTTATATCAAACATTAAAATCACACTTTTGTCCAAGAAAAAAGAAGCTTTAAAGAGCACTATTTACATGTACGCCCTTCCTTCCATTGATTTCTTTGCATTATGTTTTATTGATTTTATATTTACATCATTTTATTTGAATATCAATGTAAAAAATTTGCTCCATACATACTAGGTACGTATTTAACATTTATATGTGCTCTCGTTCTTGAAAACACTTCCACCTTAATTTTTTGGGGGCATCCTATAAAACATTTATATTTCTACCTGAAATGTCTAAAATAAATCTCATTATGTAGTTTATTGCGGATAGAACTTATTTTGAAGGTATTTTAAACATTTTTGGTAAAGTAAAAATATTTTAAGGGGTGCACAAAAAAATTTGAGCAGAAGTGTTTTCAGGAATGGAAGGAGTACTATTTTATCACATTATAGATGAAAATATGCAAAGAAACATAAAAATAATTTGACAATAGCTACTACAAAGAATTTATAGAAAATGGATGAAATATCAAATATGTAAGTTGTGTACTTGTTGTGTATGTGGATACATGCTTCACCTTGTACACAGATCAGATCTTATCTAATCTCCCACCTCTGCAAACAATATCCCAAAACAGAAATTGCAGATCTCGCAAGAAACCGGGCCTAACCGGTCAAAATCAAGGTTTTATTTCCATGAAAGAAATTTGAAATGGTGATTATATTTCTTTGCAGATCTGATGAGCCTGATCTGGTACATTTATATGGAGAAGTTACATTTCATAGATTTGCTGAGGTATGTGGGTGTGAATTTTTTTTATAACATGTGAATGGAAAAATGAAACCCTAATTTACAAAAGATTTGGAATTGAAGACTACACCACAAAGAGAGCAATTATGAAACTTTTTACCCTTTTCTGCAAAAGTAAGTCAAAACCCATCATCATTACGCCAATCTGCAAGTGTCCACACCGTCTTCTTCTTCATACTCCGTTTTTTTCCTTTTACTTTTTACCTGACAACAAAATAAAGCAAAGAGTTGAAGAAAGTCTAAATTAAATCACTGAATTAGCTAAAACAATTTTTTTGTGCAAATCAAATAATTCTGAAATCTCCAAGCTCATCAGCAAGATCCATTGAAAGGGGTACGAAAATTGGGGGGAATGAAGCCTGGTCCGACGACACCAACAAACGATCTATGACCAAAACCCATAATCCAAATGAATTCTGTTAAGAGAATTAGGATTATTTGAGGTTTTATACATAGTTGGTGGCCTCGAGCCAGACAACGTTCCCCTCAATATATATCATGAGTACAAAGCTAAGCTTTCATGGATCTTTTTCTTGTTGCGAGAGGAGAGAGAAACTTAAAGGAAAAAAAAAAGAAGAGGAATGGAGATAGAGGGATGGAGAAGAAGATAGAAATGAGAAAGTGTGAAGAGTGGAGATGAGAGAAAGAAGATAAATATAGGGGAGGAGAGAAGTGTAGTGAAATGAAAAGAGGAATAGGGAGTTATACGAAAAAGGACAAACAGGGTCATTAAAAGCTGGGCAGCAAACGCCATGCCCTGACCCGACCCCCCACCACTACAATCACTGCACCTTAATTGGTTCCGACCCAGAAATGACCACGCCCAAACCTAACCAAACCTAAGATCTCTCTTTCTACCTAAATTTCACCAGTAATTTTTTATAAGTTATGCTTGTTTGACCCCAATATTTGATAAGAAACACTAATTTTGAAGTAAAGTAATACTCATTCTCGCACAAAAATAAGTTTTCATTTTTGAAATAGCCTTATACTCATTCTGAAATAACGTAATACTCATTTTTAGACATTTATTTAATACTCACTCCCTTCTCAAAAACACCTTCTCTTTCATTTTTTCTACTTTTAACAAAACACTTCTACTTTCTACTAAAAACCATTTTTACCCTTACTTTTTCATACCCTACCTATCACATCATACTTTTTTTCTACTCCCTCCATCCCTAAATAGATTAGATTTTTTTCCTCTCTTCTCGATAACTTCAGTTTGTTTAAGTGATTTCTGATAAAATAAAATTTTCTTGTCACATCTTGTTTTGTAGAACTTTTGACGTAGTTTTTTAATATGTAATTTTTATATCTTTTTGATATACCAATTTGTAAATAAAATAATTTCAAAAAGTAGGAAATTTTTCTTCGTAACCCACAATATGTAATCTATTTAGGGACGGAGGGAGTAATAATCTATTCATCACATCTGTAACGCCCTACAAACCGGCCTAGTTTTAAATAAATAAACATTATTTATTTATTGAGACTCATTATTTTAAGTTAATAAATATTTAGATTTCGATCTCTTTAAATGGGTTTTAAAAGCTAATGTGTTTTAATATAAAAGATGTTTTAATAACGGACCTCTCAACATTAATTAAATGAATTAATTAATGATTGGGGTGGACCCGGAAGTTTGAAAATAAAGTTCTTATAAAAATTATTTGAACATGTCATTAAATTCATTTTGACTGTCTGTTTCCAAAAACGTAAACGGTATTCAATTCGGACCTGTTCGGAGGGAAAACTATGTACCATTCAGGTCAGATTTTACATAACGGAGTAGAATTTAGGGAATTAATTCCCCACTTAACTCTTCACACGCCATTCCTCTCCCTCCCACATTCATCCACCATTATTTGTCATCAATTGCCCATTAATCCTCATCATTACCCATCCCATATAATGACTCCTTCCTCTCTTCACTTTCCCCACCACACTTGTAACCCCCCAACCATTCACACCCTCACATCTCTCTCACTTATTTCCGGCCAAGGCAGCAGCAGCTCGGGGAGGAGTGCCGGCAAGTAGACGAAGGGGAAGGAGGGAGAGGGAAGGAAGGAAGGCTAGCGGGAAGCCATTCGTCGTTCGTTGTCCGATCATTAGCACCATTCGTTCATCTCGTTCCATCAATCCCTTCATTTAGAGGTGAGTAGTTGTCCCCTCTAATTCTAGAACATCAAGTTATAATCTATGTTGTTATATTCATAGGAATATCGTACGCAACCTACGTAGAATCTATGCATGTTCGTAGGTTAGCCATCAAAACGTTCACTACGTAAAAATCGTATATTGGCCTAGGAATCACTAGGAATATATTCATAAATGTTTACATTATTGTTCTAAAAAGAATCAAGGCGTTAAGTTCACAAAACGGATCAAAACGAAGCCAAAGTCAGTGGACTGTCTACGGGACGGTCGACCGCCGCTAAGGACGGTGGACCGTTTCCCTTGACCGTCCGTCGGCCACCACCGTGACGGTCGACCGCCGGCCACGACGGAAGACCGGGGTGGACCGTTGGTGATCCAGACCTCCATTACGCAGCCCACGGTCGACCGCCGGTAGGGTACGGTCGACCATTCCGCAGGCAGAATTTCGGGTAGTTTGTAGAACGAGCCCCACTGACCAGTTTGACCCAGAATCTGTTTGTAAGTTGCATGAAATGTTAATCTTCATTATGTATGTTATTTATTTGATATATTCATGGCGTTGACCAAAGGTAAAAATATCAAGCATTCATCATGTTCATTCTAGATGCATGTCCTAGGTTTTTATCATCATGTGCATAGCGCTGTAGGCAGGTCAGGCTTCCGTGCGCTTGCTACAGTGGGCCCGTCCAGGAACCCTCGGGATCCAACGGGTTTTCATCAAGTGGGCTTTGTGTACGTACATGGTAGTCAGGCTACGGCTACCACCTGGTTTTTGCTTGTTCACTTGCGACGTTTGTCGAGCCCGGGTCATTACCGGAGTGCAGGGGTGATCCTTTCAAGTGAGACTAAGTCAGGGGTGTCCCTAATCGCATAAGTCATGCATCAAGTCATCATGTATGTTCCATGTCACGTCAACATTTAGTGTGTTTGTCATCATCATGTATGTTCCCCATCATGTTCGTATTCAACGTGGTAGTACATCATTTTGTTATACATAATAGTATCCCAACAGGTGTAAATTAATCAGTTAATAACATGTGGTTATCTGTACGTTAGGTACAGGTATTAATATGTGTATGGCCATGTGGGTTATCACTTAATGTTCTTTTGTTAGATTGACTCCTCAGCTTATGCTGAGCGTGTAGTTGTTTTTGCTACACGCAGGTAGACAGGACGGTACAGGTGCTAACCCTAGAGGACAGTGATGGTGGGAAGATGGGCGGCGCATGGACGAGTTTAATAATTATAATCATTTGAATTAATTAATCATTTGGACATGAACCTATCAAATGTCGCTTTACTTATTTTGGACTTATTTATTTACTTCCGTTTTTACTCTGCATTATATCACTCACGTTTTGGGTTTAACTCCTAGCATTTATTACACCAATTAAACACAAACGTTTTCATAATAAATAGTCATTAATATCCCATCAATCGAACGTAACCGTTTTCTCATTAAAAATCATTAATGTTTTTGTAACGGACGGTTCTCGGACCGCCCATGTAACCCTACCGGTCCGTTGGGTCGCGGGTGAACCGGGTCCACGGAAGGCGGGTGTTACAACATCTTACTTTTACCATTACATCAAGGGTAAAATTGGAAGTCAACTAGAATTTAACATTTCCTTGTTTTTATGCTTTGTCAAAATAGGAGCTCTTTTTGAGAACGAAGGAAGTACAATTATAATATTCATCTACGAATAATGTAGTGTTCATTTTGAAACAAAGAAGTACTCATTTTCAAATAAAGTAGTGTAATTCTCAACTAACTTAAACCATTCATTTTAGTTAAGCCTCATAAATTTGCAACCCAATCTGTAACGCACATCTGCAATGTCTTCATAGTCGGACGTAGGGTTTGGACATTGGGGACTTCCCGATTTGTAATGCCGCCATTTTCACCACTATCACCTTTGCTGCTCTTGTAGATCTTCGCTTCTCCATCGTTTTAGCCACCATCGCTCCTCACGTTCTTTGCTGCTCCATTGTCTTTGCTGCTCCATCTGCTCCAGGTGGCTGTACCCAAAGATAAGTATAGCCGACTGAAAAAATATAATTTGCACCAGCATTTGAACCTCAAGGTTTAATCTTAGTCTTAGAGACGCTTTAGACATGGAACAGTCATGGGCGGATCCACATGGTGATTAATGGGGGCACTTGCCCCCAATGACTTTTAATTTTTTATAAATAAATACCCTAATTTTTTAAAAATATCATTTATGCCCCCACTAAAAAAATGAAATGCCCCCATTGATTTTTCCAAATCCCCACTTACAACATAAAAAAGGACAAAAATATTTTAAATCTCTAATTGAAAATTAGTTTTGGTAGTCCCGTCATGTATAATTTCTAAATTTAAAATTATTTATTTAGTAGGTTATAAATTATGCGTCGTAATTCATAATATTAAATTGCAATTTAACTGTATTTATGGCATTTTACATTAACTTTCACAAAAAAAAATTGAGAGTATTGCTCCTAAATAAACCCCGCCTTATTCATGCCCCCGGTCATTTCATTTTCTGGATCCGCCACTGGGAACCGTATCAAATATCTATAATGTCTGTGACAAATATCTGTAATGTCTGTGAGACTAAAGTTAAAAGTTAAAGTTAAAATGATAGAATTCTTATAACATTTTCTTTTTTTACTCGATCTTCTTTGGGGCGGACGTAACGCAAGTTTTTAAACGGGAGGTACTATACAAAAAAGTGTTGTTATCCATTTCGGCTCTTACACATTGTTTGGATAAAAAGAGAAAATGTGTGGAAAGAAAATAGATGGAAAGAAAATAGAGAAGAAAGAAAAAGAAGAGAAAATGAAAAGAAAATAAATGTTGTTTGGATAGGTAGAAAATAGGGAGAAAAGGTAGGAGGAAAGAAAATGTATTAAAATAAAAAGATAACTTTACCCTTATTCTATATGGAAAGTGAACATAGTGGAAGGTAAAAATGTCATTTCCAAACTTTTCTCTCCCTTTGGCCAATTTTCTCACCTCTAGAGAGGAGAAAACTTTTCACCTCTCCTTTTCCATTCTCTCTCCATTTTCTCCTCCAAACAAATACAAGAAAATTTTTTGGGAATTGTGTTTTCCTCTCAAGCCTTTTCTTTCCTTCTAATTTCACCTCATCCAAACACAAGCTTAGAAATAGGTTGAGTGAACGTTTGTGCTTTGCAAAAAGTCTTTGTTGGGATTTGGCACGAATTATTATTTTTTATTAATCCTCCATCTGTAAAAATTTTCCTCCTTTTATTATTTGTCTCAAAGTTTCTCTTTCTTTCTTCCTATTAAAAATCATTTTTTTCCATAATAATTCTTACTTTATTAATCGCATCATACTGATCTACTACTCTCCCCGTTTGGAAATACACTCTATTTTATTTTTTTTCTTTTTCACCAAAACACTCTCACTTTATTAAAAAATCAATTTTACACATATTTTTTTCTTACCCTACTTATAATGTCATATTTTTTCTCTAATAATATATCTATCACATCTTACTTTAAACCATCACATCAAAACAAAATTAGAAGTCAACTGTAATTTAACACTTTCTTATTTTGGCACTTGATCAAAATGAGAAGTGTTTTCAACATTGGAGCGAGTAATAATCTACTCATTACAGCTTACTTTATCCATCACATCAAAGATAATTTTGAATAGTCAACATAAAAATATTTTTTCTTTAAATTCCATAAAGGTCCAAATAAGGACATTTAGGGACAAAGGGAGTTTTTTTCAAACAAAATGTTCATCTAAGTAGTAAGTATTACACCCATTTTCAACTTTTGACCTCGAATTAGAAAACATATATGGTATATTAATTAGATAAAACAATATTTTTAAAATATTTTATAAAATAAGTCTAACAAAATTATGTTAGTATTGATAATAATTAAATATGAATTTTATTTAATTATCAATCAAAGTTTTGTCATTTTTATCATAAAAAGTCAAAACTAGATAAAATGTTTAGGAACGGAGGTAGCATTTGTTTAGCACCTTGATATAAAGCTCTAAATAAAATGGTATGGATCTTAAGTCCAATGAAACATTTTGCCACATTTTGCCCTAAACTCTTGAACTTGGGCATGAAGGACCCAAGGATGGGATTATCTTTTTTTTCCCTGTATACTTTACTCTCTTACTATTTCCCATCGTTGTATACTTTACTCTCTTACTCCTCCCCATTGCTGACGGATCCAAAAATTGAAATGAACGGGGACAATAGCTGGGTAGGAGTTCTGAGATTGCACCCCAAAAATTTTTAAAGGCACTTTTAAATTATATTGAAAATAAGTAAATTTTATACGAAATAAATTGAAAGTAAGTAAATCAAAATATTTCATAAATAGAAAAATAAAACAAAATATTTAAAAAGTTAGGGATGAGGAAGTATATCATTGTAATGCCCTGAAAATATGCCTATTATAATTAATTAATTATTAATTATTTAATTACTGAGAAGGATCCAAAAATAAGTGATTTATAAAGTTTGTTAATAAATAATGAAAATTATATCATTGTGTAGAATTTGACTGTCTGACCGCAATGGTTCAATCAGATCTTAATTTGGATAAAGTTTGACAAAAAAGTGTGCTTCGACTAGGACCAAATTGGTCCCAATCAGGGAGCGTGTAAATCTCCCAGAAGCTGATTTTCGCCGATTGAATATCGGCTAATTGGAATCCTGACTCAGCATCATCTGTCTTCTCCTCCATCATCTCCCTATACAAAAAGAGAACCCAAACTTCTTAATTCTTCACCATCCTTCACAATTTTTCCTTCTATTACTCAAAGCCTTCATTTAAGCTCGAGGTAAGACCTTAGATATATTTAGTGATTAGGTTGTTCATATTGATCGTTTCTACGTTCATAAACGCTCGTTTGGTTGAGTTTTATGTTTGGCATGTTTGAAAGAACAAGAATCATAAATCTTGAAATTGCTGTTAAAACTACAAACTAATGATACCAAAATGATCTATGAACCTTGGAGAATACTTATATATAGTTTAATTGAAATTTGGTGACTAAAAATGATATTTTTGAAAATGGACCCGAGTAAGAAGACGATAAACAGTGCACGGTGACATGCTACCGTCGGCACAGTAGCTAGGTACCCTTAGTACGCGAACTACCTACCGCTAAACGGTAGAGGTACTACCGTCAACAGCTGCTTCCTGGGCGGTACATGCCTACGGACGGTACTCGAGTATTGTGACACGGTACCGAGGTACCGTTACGCATACCGCCCATAACCCAAAATTTTCTAGAAAACCTGATTTTTGAACTATTATATACTATTTTTTATACGAATCAATTATGATCAATATAAAAATGAATTCTAGATATAAAAATGTTGTTTTGATCATCCAAGAACCTTATGTGATGTATGACGGTAAACTAGGGTGTTAGCACTCGATGCTAGGCCGCTATTTGTTATTGAATATTATGATGATCATTATTGATTTTTTTATGACCAGACTTTAATGAGTATTCTGATTAAAGTGATAATTATTCTGAATAAAGTAATAATTTTGAATGATTAAATCATGACTAAAAATGAATATATTGATGATTATGAAAATAATGTGTATTATTATGGGTACTCTTTAGGGGTGTAAACGGATATTAGTCGGATCGGATGTGCCATTACCAAATCCGTATCCGTTTATTTTTGTCGGATATCGAATTCAGATACGGATCTTGACGGATACTGAAAATCAAAACTGTATTCGCATCCGTCAGATATCGGTCGAATATCAAATATATTGTATCCGTTTCCAATTTTAAAATTAAATTAAACAATACTTTAATTTTAAATTAGAATAATGTCAAACTATTATTAAATTAACTATAATTTGTTATGGGATAATTATTTTTGTTGTTTTCATGATTTATGATATTCTATAGTAATTTCATATGATAAAAAGATATACACAGCACACATATACACATACTTTTATATGTCTGCACATATTTTTTTTTGTGTTTACACATTTATTTTGTATATAAAAATGTCTTATACTTTGAAATATCAATAGAGAAAAAAATATAAACATAAAAACATTAGGAAAAACTATATATAACGGATCAGATATTCGAATAAACGGTTATTTAAACGGATGCATATTCGGATCGGATTTTGAACGAATTGGATGTACAATTTCCAAATCCGTATCCGTTTAGTAATCGGATACGGAAAATATCCATTTAAACAGATGTGGATATTTCCTCTTTAAACGGATACGGATGCGGACGGTAAACAGCCTAGTACTCTTGAAGTTGAGTCTGGAGCTCCGCTTCTACTGCCCAGGCACTACCACCGCTGCTCAAATTCAATTGTCAACACTGTCGGGGGTCGAATGGTCGACAGAACAACGAGGAGCCATAACAGAGCCTTACTCCATCGTTTGAAGGTCGCCGAAGAAGATGGAGGAATCGCCAGGGTAGAACACCGTCATCCTTGCCACTGCCGGAGGTCATCGCCGAATTGAAGAATCGATTGCTTAGACCTTCCTGTCTCGGGAGGCTTGCCGGCGATTGGAGATCGTCAATCNCCCCCCCCCCCGGATGTCAAATTCGTCGACGCTGCTGATGGAGCTGCCAGCGCTGGGCGGTGGTTCTAATCTGTTGTCAAAGCTGTCGAGCTTGCTGTCCTCGCCCAAGCTGTCACCTTTGTTGAGTTGCTTGCGACGTCTCCGGTCACCGAGACAAGGGCTCGTCGGCGATTGGTGCTTATCGAGAATTTAAATCAAAGGGGACGAAGGCGGAAGGCGTCTCTCAATCCGGATCTTGCGAGAAACAGAGTATATATACTCTTGGAGTACTTTCCATTAGTCGGTTTAGTCGTTGTGCCCACGCCTTAGAGGGGGGGTGAATAAGGCGTTTTAAAATCTTTTCAGAGTTTAATAAAAACGGTGTTGGCAAATGCGGAAGCAATAACTAAAACGCAGAAATAAAAGCGTAAATAAAATGCACACCGATTTTATACTGGTTCGGGAAACCCTTACTCCAGTACCTCGAGGCTCCTCCTCAAGGATTTCCGAATCCACTAAGTCTCGGCCTCTTGAACTTCGTCAAAGCACCGCACTAGTTTTGGCAAACAACCCTTGCCAATAGGATTCACTCCGAGATTTCACCACGGCTATCTCGAACCGTTTACAATGAAGATTTAACGACTATCTTCTACCGTTCCCCCAAGGATTTCAAAGGCTATCCTTGAACCTTTACCCAAGGATTTATACGGCTATCCTTAACCGTTACAAAGTGAGAATTTAACGGCTATTCTCGACCGTAGGAAGGTGTGTTTGAAAAACACAAACAAGTGTTCTACACAACGGCTTGAATATAAAAATGAAGAACAAAATTTAGCCGGTGTAGAAGGAAAGTATACTCTCTCAAAAATACAATTCAAACTTATGAATATGAGAGTATATAACTAGAAACACAAGCTCAAAGTGTGTGTATAAAAATCAGGAATTTAAGGCTCTTAAAATAGCCAAAATATAGAAAATAATTAATAAAGGAGTGAACACACTTAGAGTATTAAATAAGGATGTTTGGAGCTTTGTTTCTTGAAGAAATATGAAGGATTAGGCTTATATTTATAGTGGAAGATGTTAATTAGCCGTTGGGAGGTGATTAGGGTTGATTTAATTCAAAATTGCAAATCAGGAAGAGTAACCCAACAGATCCGGTACCCTTCACGGTAGGGGTCAGTACCGTCCGGTACCTAGGTACTGTTACACGGTATAGGGGTACCGTGTAGGCGGTATACCCTACCGTCTGGGGTACCGTGCCACTCTCCTGAGTTTTTCAAAATTCCCGTAATCCTTCTTGTTTGAGTTTAAAACCTTTTAGATACTTGAAAATGTTTATGGGATGATTTTAAACATATTTTGTGAGTGCTTTTGAGCTTGTGAATATAGGTATATAAAGTCATATCCTTACATTGGTTTCTACCTAAATTCTACGCTAGTTTAGTGTTTCGACTTCATTCTTGAGAACCGAATCTTATATTGTTTGTTAACATCAAAACATGAGGCTTAGCAAACCAAGGCTAACATTCTCCCCCTTTTTGATGTTGACAAACAATATACTTCAAAGCGAGTTAGGTGAGAGTAAAATAATGATGGAAGCAAGCTCCCCCTAAGAATAAGCATATTGAATATACTCACTTTGAACTTTTCTTGTGTTTATTAAAATTTTGATTTTGATGCAAATAGTTACACAAGAATGCACTCAAGTCAAGTTGCATATGCACCACTTTGAAGTATACATCTTCTCCCCCTTTTGTCAAAATCAAAAAGGGTATTTTGAAAATTTTAACCATGTATAACTTCTTGAAACCCTCCCCCTATCAAAATGAATTTTTTAGGAAAAATGATAGTTTTGGAATCATTAGGCAAAAAGTGCATTTACAACGAAACTCACCTTAAAAATGAAAACTCCCCCTACAATGATGCAAGTTTAAAAAACTTTATTTTTTAGGGATTTTTGGGGATTATTTTCTAAAAATGCATGATTTAAAGATGAAAAAAATTATTTAATCATGCAAACCAAGGCTAAAGCAATTAAAAACATGTATGGGATAAGGTTTTATTTTTGAAAATAATTAAAACCAAACAAAATATCTTATCCCAAAAAGCAAGAAGAACTTACCTTGGCTTATGCCGCTCTTTCTTCGGATTTGAATATACTTCTTTCCTCTTCACACATTTCTTCCATTTGAGGAAATCCGTATATTTCATTCTCATTGCCTTCTCTTCATCTTCTTCATCATTTGACTCTTCCGAAGAGCTTGAGTCACTTGAATCATCACTTGATTCACTTGACTCTTCACTAGACGAGTCCTTTGATGCTTTGAAGGCATTCGTAAGCTTGGGATTCTCACGCATTTCTTCCTCTTTGATCTTTTTCAACAAAAGCTCGTAAGAATACAAGGAAGACCAAATGTGGGCGGTTTCAGCCTTATCACATTTGGGTAATAAATCCACTATACTACTACTATGCCATTCTTTAGGTAAAGAAAATAGAATTTTTGTATTAAGCTCGGAAGTAGTATACGTCTTACCCAACTTACTCAATTTATTGACAATCTCATTGAACCTTTTGTTCATGTCTTGGATTGTCTCACATGACCCTTTCTTGAAGGATTCATATTTGGAGTTCCCAAGGGCAATCATCGTTTGCTTAGTTGAGATGTCGCCTTCAGGAGTAGCTTGTAGCAATTCCCATACCTCCTTGGCCGTTTTGCATGAGCATACTCGTGCAAACTCGTCGGGGCCAAGAGAGCAATGGAGGATGTTGATTGCTTTTGCGTTCATGGATAGCTTCCTCTTGTCTTCCGAAGACAAACCTGCAAAATTACCACTACTCGGCACAAATGGCCCGTGAAGTATATTCAACCATAAATCAAAATCAATTGATTGAATGAAATATTCCATCCGCATTTTCCAATAGGAATAATTTTGGCCATTGAAAAACGGAGGGCGGTGGATGCTTTGGGAATCCATTTGGGCCATTTTTCAAAGAATTTGAAATTTAAAAAAAATTAGGGAAAATAAACTTTTTGATATTTTAAAATTCAAATTTAAAAAAGGACACAACAAGTGGATCTTTGTCGTAGATGCGGTTAAACACTTTTCACTACGAAACGGCTCTGATACCAATTGTTAGTCGGTTTAGTCGTTGTGCCCACGCCTTAGAAGGGGGGTGAATAAGGCGTTTTAAAATCTTTTCGGAGTTTAATAAAAACGGTGTTGGCAAATGCGGAAGCAATAACTAAAACGCAGAAATAAAAGCGTAAATAAAATGCACACCGATTTTATACTGGTTCGGGAAACCCCTACTCCAGTACCTCGAGGCTCCTCCTCAAGGATTTCTGAATCCACTAAGTCTCGGCCTCTTGAACTTCGTCAAAGCACCGCACTAGTTTTGGCAAACAACCCTTGCCAATAGGATTCACTCCGAGATTTCACCACGGCTATCTCGAACCGTTTACAATGAAGATTTAACGGCTATCTTCTACCGTTCCCCCAAGGATTTCAAAGGCTATCCTTGAACCTTTACCCAAGGATTTATACAGCTATTCTTAACCGTTACAACGTGAGAATTTAACGGCTATTCTCGACCGTAGGAAGGTGTGTTTGAAAAACACAAACAAGTGTTCTACACAACGGCTTGAATATAAAAATAAAGAACAAAATTTAGCCGGTGTAGAAGAAAAGTATACTCTCTCAAAAATACAATTCAAACTTATGAATATGAGAGTATATAATTAGAAACACAAGCTCAAACTGTGTGTATAAAAATCAGGAATTTAAGGCTCTTAAAATAGCCAAAATATAGAAAATAATTAATAAAGGAGTGAACACACTTAGAGTATTAAATAAGGATGTTTGGAGCTTTGTTTCTTGAAGAAATATGAAGGATTAGGCTTATGTTTATAGTGGAAGATGTTAATTAGCCGTTGGGAGGTGATTAGGGTTGATTTAATTCAAAATTGCAAATCAGGAACAGTAACCCAACAGATCCGGTACCCTTCACGGTAGGGGTCAGTACCGTCTGGTACCTAGGTACCGTTACACGATATAGGGGTACCGTGTAGGCGGTATACCCTACCGTCTGGGGTACCATGCCACTGTCCTGAGTTTTCCAAAATTCCCGTAATCCTTCTTGTTTGAGTTTAAAACCTTTTAGATATTTGAAAATGTTTATGGGATGATTTTAAACATATTTTGTGAGTGCTTTTGAGCTTGTGAATATAGGTATATAAAGTCATATCCTTACATTAGTTTCTACCTAAATTCTACGCTAGTTTAGTGTTTCGACTTCATTCTTGAGAACCGAATCTTAATGGATTCTTGTTGTACATGAAACACTTAAACAAACGTCAAGCTCTTATATTCTTTGTTAACATCAAAACATGAGGCTTAGCAAACCAAGGCTAACACTTTCCAGACCAACTTGCTCTAAATGGAGATCTGTTCGCGTCGTTAGATTCGATTCATCGATCCTTACCCAATTGTATAACTTTTATAACCAATCAATGCAACCAGCATTTACGAGTTTCACTTGGTCTGTTTTAATTCTATCAATTAATTAGTACCGATCAGTCTTTCACTTTAAATATTTACAAATATTATTAGATTAGTCTTGTTATATTGAGACGATTAGAATCTCCAAAGTATATATAATTCTTTAAAAGAATAGATTGTCATAAAAAAATAATTATTATTTATTTAATTATCGATTAACTTCTAAACAGATTCTTCAGGGCATTAGAGGGAGAGTGTCGTTTCTTGTTCTAAACCATTTCCAAAGTGTAGAAATATTATTTTTGATAAAATATATATTTTCTACAAAGTATAATATACATTATATATTATCCCAAAAAAATATAACCTTTATATTTATTATATTACTTTAGCCAATGCTAGCATATTGGTTAAGGTAGACTCCAGAGTTTGTCCATGTGTCGAAGTTAAAGGGCGGTCGTTTGCCCGGCTCCGTTCGTGCCTTCAAAGCCTCTCCCCTCTCTATGACAATTTTGCTTTTTCAGAAGATGTATAACTTTCTATCTTTTACTATGGTTTTCATACGAGTTTTTGAGATGGTAATCGTTTTAGGATATATAAAATTTTTGTATTTTTTGTTGTGCACCCTAGAACATTTTTGTGTTTCCTTTTTTATTTTATATGTATTTTAAATAAGGTAACTTCATTATAAGCAACATAATAATAATAATAATAATAATAATATTATTATTATTATTATTATTATTATTATTATTATAATTATTATTATTATGATTATTAAAAATGTATGTTCTTTTTAATTACCGTATACAACCAATTACCGTCTTCGAAAATTGAAATGAAAGCATTACCCTGAATAAAAAAACATTCTCACACTTTAAAGTATCAAAATTAAATTTACATTTTTGTTTCAATATATACTTCATAGGTATTTTAAATAAAGTAATTTCCTTATACACGTACGAAATATTGATGAGAGGTCATCATTTTTATATATATAAAATTGGTGGCAATAATAAGAATCTTAAATGTGTATACATTAATCCCCGTGGTTATCCGAAGCCACGTGGATGAAGAAGTCGTTATTCCAAAACTATCATTGACACCATCCGATACAAGAATTTCATTCAAGTTTCAAACATAATTCTTTGTGGTTACTTTGTACGCAATAACGATTAACAAGAGTCGGGGATAATCACTGAAACATGTTGGATTATTGTTATAGAAACTAGTATTCTAGGATTGAAAAATGATCTTAATTTGGAAATGTAAATATGACCCGTGTGCATTGCACGAATGTGATACTAGTTAAAAGAATTCAAATTGATGTTTTCTATCTCCAAAGTTTATAAATTTGAATATCCACTATTGAATACTCCCCCGTCCTGAAATGAATTATACTTACGCAAAATAAAGTAAAATATTAAATTATTTAAATACATTTTATTGAAAGATTGATGTCAAAATTAAAAAAACCCGCATATTTAAAAAATATATCAAAAGTTCTATTTCATTTGTCCTAAAATGATTTACTTTTTTTATTATTAGGGCATATCAACAACTTTTTTGTTGACATATTTTCATTGATCATTTAATAGAATAAAATATTTTCGATATATTGTGTAGTGTAAAACTATTGATGTAGGTTCTAAATATATATTTTGTATGTTTTTATTTCTATACGAATTTATAAATAAAATATTTTTAAAAAATAAATGATTTTGTGCATTGATCAAAAAGTGTAATTATTTAGGAACAAAGAAGGTACGAAACAAGAAGTGATAAAAATATTTTATTTTTTCTCAAATAATTAATAAAAATTTATAAAAAAATTCTTGTTATTTTTAAATAGCAAAGAGTTTAAATCATTGTAGGGAGAACGATATGATATTATTAAGTCATATTTAAAAAATAAAAAAGTTTAAGTCTTATATTGAAAAATGACTTATGTTTTAGTCTTATTCATTGCAAATTTTAACAAATGGGATAGGGTCACCGGTCATAGGGATTATTTCAAATAAGACTTCTAACAAAACCATGTGCTTCTCGCCGCTTGATTCGCTTAAAACCGACGACCGCCCGTAGACACTTCCGGGGTCTTGTTCCAGTCTTCCCGTTCAACCAGCACCTTCTTAAACCCCCTCTCCAATTGTTTCTTGATACGGAGTATTGCATCGAGAGCCCCAATTACCTGTCGTTTTCGCACCACAATCCCTACAATTTCGGTTTATATTTCGCCCGAAAAGATTAAAGATGTGCAGAGGCTTTCATCCTAACGGGGGAGATTGCGTAAACCTGCGAGCTTTTTACCTTCACATATCCTTGCTCTCCCCACCCAGAAAACCCCTGCCCGAAATCTTGACGCTCAATTACCCCCCGCGCATTGACGAGAGCCCGTTGGAGATAAGCGGCTCCGGTGTCCGATCCAATGCTCCCGGATTCCTATCGCTCCACCGCGTTCTCTCCGCCGGCACGGCAGTGTATGGGAGCAGGGAGAGAGTGAAAGCCGGCGAGGGTGCGAGGTTCGAACTATACGCAGGGGATTGCAAATTGATGAAGGGGATTTTCCGGAAAGACTGGGGAGGCGATTCTTGGAAACTGGAGTGCAAATTCGTGGTGTCCGAGGAGGAGAACAGTGGCCTGGGAATCAAAGGGGCGGAGGTGCGCGTGTGGCTGGAGGGAGACCCGGCGGAGCCGATCACGGAGAGGGTGGAGATGGCGCATACGCGTAGGACCGTGCGGCCGCGGTGTGAGAGGCTGGAGGAGATTCCGGAGGGAAGGGAAACTGAAAGTGAGGCTGAGGGGTGTTGCTGCGGTGAGGGAGAGGCAGAGGCCGTGATGGGCGGAAGAGAAGACTGTCTGGTGCCGGCGGTGGAGGGAGTGGGGTGGGCGGTGGACGCCGGAATTTGGATTCTTTGTTTTGGCGTGGGGTATTTGGTCAGTAGAGCTTCGCGGAAGAAGGTGATGAGAAGTCTGATGTCTTAACGAAAAATTCACACTTGATATAGCCATAGGATTAGGATTGTTGAGTGTGAGAAAATTTGTACAGTTACACTACTTCACTCTTTAGATTTAACATGAATTCACTATGTATATTCTTTTTCCACTTCATCTACTTTTAATACTCTTCCATCTCTATTTTGAATTTGGTAATATTTTTCCATAAATTTGTCCAAAATACCCTTCCACATTAATATCGACCCGTCATCCTTATCTTCTCGAAACATCCACCCTTGCCCTACCCCTCTTTCGCTCGAAAAAATCTTCTTCCTAATCTTCTACAATCAAGCAGTTGTGCTTCTTTTTTAATCTCCGGGTAGAGTCTGTTTCATATGTGTACGTAAGTGATTCAAAGGAACCATGCTGCTACTTTTGTATTCAAAGGTATGAGTCGATTTAGATCTAGATCTTAAAGGCGATTCTTGAGACAAGATGATTCAAAGGAACCATGCTGCTACTTTTGTATTCAAAGGTATGAGTCGATCTAGATCTAGATTTTAAAGGCGATTCTTGAGACAAGATGAAAAATAGGCATTGACGAATCTGGAGTCTATGGAGAAGACATAGGAAGAGAGAAGAGGAAGATTGTAGAAGATAAAGAGTAATGAGAGGATGTGAGATAGAGACGAAGAGGTAAGGCAACGGTGGATGTTCCAAGGAAGACGAGTGAATATATTTATGGGGAAGGGTATTTTGGACAATTTATGGATAAATGTTACCAAATTCAAATTTTATAATCTATTTTAAGACAAATAGATGAGGGAATATCGTAATCAAAACGAAGAGGGGGGAGTATAAAAATTCTCATAATTTGGATCTTGAGTGTAATTATGTTAAAAAAGAAGTTTTATACAGAGTATTAAGTACAGAATGTAATGATATAATGACCAACATTGTTAAGCTTGTGTCTGGTACACGAAATTAAAATTGAATAAGAATTCAATTTCTATGGAATTGAAGATATGAGGATTGGACATATGTTTCCATCACATATCATTAATGTCATGTTCTTTTGGGTTAGAGATTGAAAGAAATTTGTAAAAATTGGAAAAAACTGAAAAAAGTTGTAAAATATTGTAAGAATTAAAGTGTTAAAAAATTATTTAACTAAATGATCGCCTAAATAAATATGTAAAAAATTTTAATTTTAGATAAAAAGAATTTATCATTCTCTCTGTTTGAGGTGATATGTTATAAACATAGATATATAATGTTATTGTACATTTATCATATATAATATTTTTATTAAGCCGTTAAAAAACTAGAATAATTTGGAAAAAGTTAGAAATGAATTTTTCTAACACAAAAAAATATGACCTAAATGGACAATTGATGTTGCACCACATTTTAATAAAGGTTTAAGGCAATGCAATCTTATTATCTTCCATCTTTTGGCTAAATAGCACTGGTATCCCTTGTGATTTGCAAAATAAGTACCAATACTCCCGCTATTTTCAAAGCTCATTTTTAAAGTTCCTGGGGAGAAAGACCAAACTACGAGTAAAAGTTAGGTTATATTCTCAAATAGGAGCTAAAACTTAAACTCCTCTAAATAAGAGTAATCACTACAAGAAAATTGGTATTTCGGCGCACTTAAAATAGTTATTCGCCACACTTATAAATGTGGAAAAAATGATTTGCCACACATGCATAAGTGCAGCTATGTAAATGTGGGGAATTTTTTGCCGCACTTTTAGATAAGTGTGGCTAATGAATATATTAACCACACTTAGTATATGTGGCTAATATTTTATTTTGCAACACTTACATGTGTTCTTAAAACATCGCATAAACAAGTGCGGAGAATTTTGCTTATTTGAAAATAACAAAATTATATATATATATATATATATATATATATATATATATATATATATATATATATATATATATATATATAACAATTATTATTATTAGAAGAAGAAAAGTAAATTACAAG